GTAAATACTCAGGCTCAAAGACACGTTCTTTTCTACGTAAATACTCAGGCTCAAAGACAATTTCTACATAAGTACTCAGGCTCATAGACACGTTCTACGTAAATACTCAGGCTCAAAAACATGTTCTACGTAAATACTCAGGCTCAAAGACAATTTCTACGTAAATACTCAGGCTCAAAGACAATTTCTACGTAAATACTCAGGCTCAAAGACAATTTCTACGTAAATACTCGGGCTCAAAGACAATTTCTACGTAAATACTCGGGCTCAAAGACAAGTTCTATTCCTCACAGTTTAATAAGCAAAACTAAAATTAATTATTTTAGGGGGAACATTTTCGTTATACACAACCCTAATTTCATATTCACGTACTAGTTTTGTAGATATTTTTCAAACTAAGATAAATTAAATATTTCTAAGTTGAAGTACAGAACTTATTGTCATCAAAGTAAATAAGCCAAGAAGCATTATAGCTATATATTCATGGTGTGGTAGCAAATATTTCTGAGTTTTTTTTGGAATGTTACAGGTGATAAGTTATAACACTGCAATATAAGCTTAATGTAACAATTATTGCAGCATGTGGAAAAATATATAATTGGTTGTCTAATTATCAGTTGAATATTATGAAAAGTAATGTATTCAAAAATTTCCGAAAGTCAAAGGGTTAGTAAGATCAAATAACTAAATGATTAAACTTAATTTTTTCAACATGTTAATTTTCATTTGAATTCTAAGTTCAAACCAAAGGTCTTCTCCAAAAATTACTCTTTTTACTTAGTAGATTGTTGTTGTTGCTTTAGTGCAAAGCTACACAGTGAACTACTTGTGCTCTGTCCACTACAGAGAATCAAACTCCAGAATTGAACATTGTAAGTATGTACGTTCCCCACTGACTCAATGGGGAACTACCTTGTAAGAAAATTAATGTTTTATTTAACTATGAATTTAAAGTTTATATCAAACCAAAAAAAAGTTTCTAGTGTGAAAGAAACATTAATGAAACCGATGTTTCAACAAGGTCAGTTATATAGGTGGAATTATGATATTTAATGTCTCGTACAAGTAGTCTACAACAGATAAATATAACTGAAATGCTACTATGCAATCATATTATAAACCTGTGATGGGCATGCTAAGCAAACTCATGTTATACCTACAAAATACCATAGGTTTCTGCCACCTGTTCATATAATCAAATGACTGATAGTCTTAGCTTTAATGACTTGCATTCATTTTTAATTATGTAAATTAGTTTCTAAAAAAATAATCCTACCTCTTCCTGGTCCATTATCTGTTCCTTTAGTTTTTCAACTAGCTGACTCTGACGATCAATTTCATCATCCCTCTCATCCAGCTGACTGTAAAGGCGAGACTGTTCTTCCTGAAATTTGGCTCGCTCCTCATTGGTCATTGGTTCGGCACACACCGGAGGTGGAGCAGTCTCGGGCAGACTAATCGTACTGATTTCTAGCTCTTTACTGGAAAGCTGCTCATCTTGTGGCACTGTTTCACCTGGTATTCAAGTTTTCATCTATTACATATATCTATTTACAAATTCAATTAATTACTTTGCTAAAAGTATTATAACTTATGGAATGTAATACACCAAAACATATAAATACACAGAAAAAAAGTTTATTAAAATTTTTGAAATTGTGTCTTGGGGCATGTTCAATGCTTACTTCTATATTAAAGAACTTACTAATACATTTGATACTTTTTTTTTCATTCAGTTCTATTGTACCCAAGCTTCTTTTCTATCCCTATAGTAAAATTATTTTAAGTACTTTTTCTTTTGTCCTGTAGTTATCCATTTGACTTTTTCTTAGTTTAAAAACCTTCAATAATTTTCAACACAATAACAGCTTCACCGATTCTTCACCACCTACTTCTTCTGTAACAAACCTTTACTCTTCTTATCTACTGCTCCAGTAACTATCCAACATGACTTAACTTTGGAATATTTTACTTTTGTAACAGACTGAAAAATAATGTTTATTACTTTCCCTTTTATCATCACCGTTTGCTCTTAACCCACATAAAAATACATTGATTAGTTATGGATTACCGAGTCTCCAACGGCTTAATTCAGCTTCAGCACGCTCCAATTGAGCCTTAAGTTTGGTATTCTTCTCCTTTTCTTTTTCATATCTACGTTTCCATTCTTCTGCTGTTAATTCTTCATTGACAATAACATTGTTGGTAATAGTCTTAGCTCTACAGAAGATGGGGAGAAATTGAATCATGATAATAACATACAGAGATTCCAAATACAATAACTTAGTTAAAAACTGGACAAACAGTATTGGGATGAGTGTCTGATGAGCCTTTAGCTGCATCGTATTTTAGATTTTATCTTACAATAAAACATTCTTATTGGACACCGTCTCGCTATAAAAACAAAAACTCATTACTAACTCATAATAAGACTTTGGTATTACACTTTGTACAAACAACAGAAACATATTCAGAGAGAATCATACATACATAAAATACAATAAGACTAGTATCAACAAATCTATACAGTATATCGATATGTGTACATGAGGAATAAATCACAAGATATGAAGTATTACAAAGATAAAAGAAAGAAAGGATGAAAATTAGATATACAGTAAATAAGTCCCTAAAGAATAAAAAAGTTAAGTGAACATTTTCAAACAGTTACTTTGTCATTTTTTGTTGCATATTCTGTAAATGGGTGACCATATAATAAAACTAGGTGGAAGGAACAAATAACAACAAGACAACTATGTAGTTTTACTTACAAGACATGCTCTTAACTTTACTATAAAAACTCTAGGTATCTTTACGTTCTGGATTTGAGTTAAAGTAAATCCATTTACCTTCTGCCAAAGTCGAGTGTGGACTTGGTTTCAGTTTCATTATATGAAGCAGGAGAACAACAGATAATGATTGTGGTGCGTGCATTTCCTCCCAAGCTTTCTTGAAGGATTCTCGTCAGTTTACTATCTCGATAGGGAATGTGAGTCTTCTGCATACGAAAGATATACACACACACACAAATATATTGCACTTTTCAGTAGATGTTCAAAAGCTTATTGTTATAAATTAAATATATCAAAGGAACATTTGTAAATCTTTTATTTCAATGAGAATTTAGAAATATCAAAATATGGATATATGTATCAGATCAAAACTTCACAATATACACAGCATCATTATACATAAAATGTAGTGATGCTTAGAGATGGCTTGAATGGGTAATGAAGAAAAACTTATATTAAAAT